ATTTGGCAAATATCCTAAAAGTACATTGGTGGAGACAGGTTAAAAACTTGTATCTACCATTGATAGTCTGAGTTCAAAATGGTATCAAATCATTAAATAAAGCTATAAAATAAAAGTTATGCCGCGTTGGTAAATATTAAAAAGAAAAAATAACAGATTAAATTTTTTAAACTTTAACGTGTATATATCTATATAGCTTGTACGTACCAAAGTTTACAAAATTATTGCTTGAATTTTGAAGATAACTATTTGAATTTTGAAAGAGAATAGTTTCAATATACCTGTTTGTAAGACATGTTTGTATATTTCTTCAAATGCACATGGTACATGCACTAAACAAATTATGATGAGTTAAACCCCAACTTAAAATGAAAGTATGATATTATGTCCTCGACATCTTAAAATAAAACAACGAAGTGTTGGTAAATGTTGAATACCGGACATAACAATCAGATATTGAATTTATCTTTATGAAAAACACATACAATAGAGATCTAAAGTATAACTTTAATATGTTAAAATCTAAGAAACAGCACAATATTTTGTTTAAAGTGCCTACACAGCTGGTAAAATCTCATTCATATGGTGTGTTAAATTTAGTGAATGGTAAATGATTATCAATATATATATTGAAAGTGTTTTTGTACTCTAAACTGTACAATTTTAAATACATGTTAAAATCATGATTTACTCGAACGTTTTACATGAATACTGCCCAGGTGAGAGATTTAAAAAAAACTATTTGATCATTGGTATATACAATGTATGTTTATCCTAAGATTAAAGGTTAACAAAACTGCCAATTTAAGGTTCATCACCCTCTAAAAAAAATTGAAGATAATAAAATATGTCGTCACAAATGCTTAGTATCATAATAGAGGACATTTTCATTAAATTACTTGCATTTCTTGGCAACTTAATGATCTTTACTCGATATTCATTTCCTTATCTGACTTTGGACCTCTGTATGAGACCCTGACCTTAGCCGAAGGGAACTGAATTTTCCGCATAAAACTATGCCTTACTATGCCGGATAGTTGTGCAAATGTATATTTATGTCAAACTCTCTGTGAACGTATATGTTTCAATATGGACAAGTGTTTTCCTCTAACCTCCTAGTGTGACCTTGGCCTTTGACCTAGAAAGCTGCTTAATGTGTGTACCTCTAAGTCTCATGATGGTGAACAGTTATGTCTATTTATACTTAAATCAATCAATACATGTAGTTATGTTCTGGACAAAATCTTCATCAAAACTCAATTAAGTAACAGTGAGTATTTTTTACATAATCCTCCAATTTAAGGCTTCTAAATTGTTCACACAAAAAACATGCACTCACTCGCTCTCTCACACACACACACATGCACGCATGCGCGCGCATGCACGCATGCGTGCACGCGCACACGCAAACACATCCATATTTTTATTTCAAAATTGACATCTATGTACTACCTTGACGTTGGTAACGCGGAGGAAGCATAGTTGGTGTATTTTCTTATTCGAATTACGCATATACAATGGGATTTTCCTAGATCTTAATATATTTCTATAATAAGATTATATTACTCAAAGATGAGCATAGTGGATCTATATATTTAACATAAACTTATAAAAAGAGGCCAGATTTTAGTATTATTTTATTTCAAGTAAATATTGAATGTATCCTACTGCAAAATGAAATTTTAATTTATATTTTCATTCTTGCGCACTTCGAAATATTTTTTCAGAAATTCAACTGTCATAGTAAAATTAATTTAATGTTTCCAAAGCACAATAATGCGCCTGTGTTTAAAATTTTGTGGCAAAGCCCTTTTAACTAGCGAAGAAAATGAATTTCCTAAATGAAATTATGTGTTTACTGATCTCTTTTTTAAGAAAACTACCGGTATGTTTATATTTAAAAAAACGATTTGCGTAATATCTAATGCAGACATCTAAATAAATGCATGAATATGTTGTAACAAATTATCCAATAAAAGTTTTTTTCCATCAAATAAATTGTTGTCTTTGTCATAACTAATCTAATTCATGAACTTAAACATTCATCGTTACACCAGTAAGTGGAAACATTAACCTAGAACTAATTGCAAATGCACTTTTATTAACATCAGGCGAAAGAACTTACTTAGATTTTTGTCATATCTTGAATCGATAATGTATAACATTGACTATTGACGATTTTTGTTCTACGGACAATAAGGACACTTCCTCTGTCCGTCTCAGTGATGGGGAAAAAGGAAACAAAGGGATATGTGCGGCATGTTAAATCACTCTCTTCAAGTTGAAACAAATCAAAACATTCATGTTCATGCTTTAGGCCGCACACATCTTTAAGACCATTTTCTCACTAAACATAAGCAAATAAATGTGCTGAAAGAACGATAAACACTTGCATTCTGTAGCTACCAAATTTGTAGTCTGGATGTTTAGTTCGCGAAACTGTTTTCTCGATAACGTATATTAAATAGAAAAAAATGTTTGATACTATCCTGTTTTGAAGATTAGAATTTTAAAGCATTACCATAAAAATAATGGTGTTTAGTAGACAGATGGCGTAAAAATCCGTCTGTTTCGTGTTTTGAATCACATGCAGTTGTTCCAATTTACCATCAGCGATGTAATGTTAATTTAATGTGATTGACATGATTTCAAGATGTTATTTTTAACAATAATGCGATGCCCTGTGACACTTTTGAATTAATGACCTAGATTTAACGCCTCAATACCGTAATTGATAGAAACTATTGTTTTGCAGAAATTATATTCTTTATTTCAGAGACAAAATCAATTCATGGATGACGTAAATAATCTCTGTAACGTTTGCAAGAAAACCTTTTAGAAAATCCAATTTGAAAATCAAATTTGTAGAAAATGAGTTACTGGCAATTAGATCTACATTTAAACATGCAAGGCAGATTGGCGTTGGACTGTGAAGCGGTCGACCCGGGTTGGATTCAAGCAAGTTGCAGGTCACTTTTTGTTGTGATTGATCATGAAATCTTTCTACGGTCATTTGCATTGTACCAATGCTCTGATATGTACGGAGGAGAGTGAAGGCATCTAGTGCTGAAATACTGCTCAACTTGGCTAAACAGGAATGGTGCGGTGAATTTGATTTGACTCGCATAATATATATTTGGTAAATAAGATAGTATCCTCTTATACCATTGTTATTCAACCAAAGAGGATGAATACTGGCATGTGTAAATGTAAAACGGTACTGTTTATATTAAATAAAATGTACGTGGTACTGTTTATATAAAATTAAATGTACGTTATATCTTTATTTGCATTTTTGAAAATTTGTAAATGGGGAAGATATGCTACTTCCATTTTGATGGACAATAAATAAAAATGTTGTACTATTGGTGTATATTTGAGTTTGTGGCCAAGAGTATTAATATATTATTAGTATAACTTTGGCAAGTTTGTAAGTATAGTAACTTTAATATAATTGTGACATTTATATAAACTATAAACACAGTCTATGAACAATGTTTTTTTCTCTCAAGGAATCGTGCTGTATTTTTAATTTGTGATAAAGATTCTTGACATTTTATATTGTTAATATAAACAGTTGTTTGTAATAAAGCCCTCGCCTAGCTTCTCAGGCAATATATACAAACAAACGCTTATATAGTGTATAACCTGTCTAACATCTTAAACAATTATATTAAAACCTTATCTTGTAGTGGGGAAGGGAGTAAATACTGTATAAACCACAAACCTCTCACCAATGTTAGTTTGAGCCTTATAAGGGTAATATTCTTTCATGTGGTTCTACTCAGGCACCCGTTTGTGCCTGAAATAATGCACAAAAATGTACATTGGGTCATTATTCAAAAGCTTAAAAGTCGCCATATTACATTTATGGTGTTGGTGCGAAGTTAAACCCAAACATAATATATTGCTCGTTTAAACTTATTTATCAATTACTTATAATTTAATTCTACAAGAAATGCAACCACTGTGTATCCCTGCGTGAGTGTAAGAGACGACTCAATTGCTTCGAATTACTGGAGTCTTTGCATTGCTTAGCTCCAGCAGCTAAGGTGGCTTTGATCTCAGGTGTTGCTTAAAGTTAATAACATCCGAGTTTCGCCAAATCATTATTCCTGTTTCGGCGCCATATGACCAAAATTGTGTTTGTGCGCCGTAAAACAAAAAAGAATTGATTGATTGATTTTCTTTAGACCGGGCGGTCAAGGATAACCTACGAAAGTGCAAGCACTTATTTCCAGTAGGGTCCTTACCTCAGAAGACACTAGAGACAGCTATGAGATACAAGGAAATCCGGGAACCAGTCCCTAGCTCTTATTGAATAGATTCCTTGGTTCTTTTACATGCCCAGTGTATAGCACTGATACATGCGAGGATTACCTGGGTTTCGTACCAGTAAACCTCTAGTTAGGTGGGAAACACTGAAAGTGTTTCTGAAAAATCCCAAGGGTGTTACCCAGGATCGAACCCGGAACCTCAGGAGTGACAGTCAGTGGTCTAACCAACTGAGCTATCGCGCCACCTAAATCCGCAACAAGGCCTTGAGTGATTGTCAGTATACTCGAAACAGACATTGCTATGATAGCGCTAGCAGTAGCTCATGATGCTCTTACTTTATAAAACATGGAGATTCCTAAGTCTTAAGTTTGTCTTAAGATAAAAATTGTGACAATTTTGCGTTCGAAAGAAAGTCTTATAAAAGGTTCTAACTTATGACTCCTATATTTATGACCAAAAACAGTCCTAAGTATTTTAAAATTATCCTAAGTCAAAACCACTCCAAAATCGAACAACTTTTTGTTAAATTTTGTTTTGAAAACTATCTAGAATGATAGATAATGCCCTAACTAAGAAAATAAATCCGAACACCAATATCTTTAATTCAGTCATTAACGCTGTACAGACGTTTAAAGAGTTGTTTACATGACGTCACAATGTAGCGCCAAATATCGCTTGCAAAAAAAGATGCATCTATAAATAATAATATTACTGCGCGCTGTACAATTGCAGTTGCGTAGCAAGCAAGGGGGTTCGTACACATTGTTTTTGTCGAACATATATGACTTTTCTACTAACACGATAACAGTCACAGAAATCCACATTCATTAAAATTATATATGTAATCCAAAAGTGCAATGTAGGATTCGGACTGTTTAATATAATTATTACGCCAAATTTTATATAACTTTACACCATTGATGTTCATACATAATGGGTTTCCTTCAAACACTTAAATTCATTAACTTTCTTATTGTTAATTGTATTTGTTTGAACTTCTTTTCCTTTCCAGTTCGTTTCAGATATTAATCTCTTATTATAAGAGACGTAAGTATCCTTCCAGTCTAAATCTGTTGACGATGACCTATTATCAATATTAAACACTATTATTTCCAAGCTTTGGACTGATAATCCTAAGTTCAATGTAATATTTCACAAATAAACGGCCTGTTTGAAGTGCAACTGGAATCATACCAAAATGAATTACACGGATAAATTCTTATACAAAGACCACTATCTGGTTCTCCAGATGCCCAGTTGAAGAATTGTTTCTGGGAACCATTTATGGTCAACCATGCTGAACTTGAGTCCTTCCGCTGACCATCAATATAAACATTTGCACTAATTCCCTGCAATAATGTCTTTACATCACCATTCTTTAAAACTGAATCAATATTAATCACGTGGCCACCGTCTGCCTGGCACTGTTTTTCTGCGTCATCAAACGTTTTAAAATTGACATACAGTTTAACACAGAATCCATTTGTCGTCACGTTATATGCCTTGGAACATAATCCCTCACATATGCCGATATCTGTTTCCGTTGTCAACTTATCCCCAGATTGATATCTGCCACATTTTCTTGTTCGTTTCCGTGAAGCTATGTATCCCTCTCTTATTGCACCACATTCTGACCAGTGTGTCCAGTCAGAGCAAGGATGGAGATTTTCAAGGTTCCGAATTGCCATTCCTAACAGTGTAATTACTGGCTTATGCAGCGTTCTTCCAAGCTTCAACAATATTTCGCCGGTAATGTCTTCCTCGGCTGTTCCGTTACTATTCGTCAAAGACGCAGAGGACATGTTCATTTGGACTATTATCACTGATATTCTTAACACAAAACATATCTTTCCTTCTCTCATTTTTATTTCAAATAAAGTGTTACGCCTAACGTTTTATTGCTCCGTTATGTTCAGAAAAGGTTTTGTTTCAAAGAATGGATAGTTAAACTTAACATCAAACAGAAATGGTTCAAAGTAAATGTTCTCTTCTTTGTAGTACAAAACACACTCTTTATGTTATCCGAGCACATTGAATTTGTGACGCACGGCTTATTCTAAATGATTTGCAAACATACCCTAACATATTTGCTTTGAAGTAATAACGTGTCTTGGAAGCAGCCAATGTTTTTCGTGAACATTTCTCGATGTACAGATTATATTTAACGAAAATATCTCACTTTATCAATTACATGTTTTAAAATGTACAGATTGCAAATTATTTTTACTTGCTACCAAACATTGCTTATTAAATTTTGATAGAGTTCAAAGGTTTGTTAAGCTGTTAAGTTGTTAAGCTGTCGGAATTCAAAGTTATTTAAAACAGTGCAATCTTCATTAGTTGGCAGTTTAACCAATGTAATTCCATACACTTGACTAACGGGCAACAACATTTTGAGATAAGGTGATCTTAGATAAGATAGCTTGAAATTGTATAAATGTTCTTCCTGAGTGTAAAGATAATAGAAGAAGTTTTATTCGCATAGTACTTGTAAATTCTTGATAGAAAAAAATCTTCTTAAGGTTACTGAGCAATCCTTGTAAAATTTCAATAATTATTCATTAGTAAGAAGTGTTATTAAGAGCAAGGGGCAATATAAACTCTTACCCTTGTGAAACGTTTAATGATGATATAAAGCCAGACCCGCCTGAACATCATTGATATTTGACCAGATTATACACTTTTGGCTCACTTACTGGAAGTCTTCTAGAATAATCTCGAGATCCCATATAATAGCAATGGGCATTGTTAAAATGGAGGCTGGAAAAAATCCTCAGTTTAAGGGCTAAATGACTAAATGGCATTGTACATACACGCCATTTTTACAGTTGTCTAAAGAAAGAAAACTATGCCATGGCAATAAATGAATCCTTACTCCTAATATACCTAATTCTGGCATCTGTGTTTTGAATAACTCAGAATGGTTGGTACAATTTTGCAAACTTAAAATGTATACTCTGTTCAACAAGTCACCTGCTATCAATGTACATGTTTGTCGTAATATAAACATTCATGATACGACTCTTAAGAATTATTATAAAACTCAAATAGTTTTTTACGTGAATATTCATTATGTTTATCAGTATAATATTATGTTTATCTAAAACACATACAGGAAAACATTACATTTGAACTTATTCTTATGTTGTTGTTTTTTCAGTCATGGTAAAAATCTTCTGCCTTAATGGTAACTTGAATTGCATAAACAAAATATTATAAAATTGTCTTTAATGTGCAGTTTGTACCCTTATGTACAATAAGCAGAATGTTTAAGGTTTAATGTCAGATAAGAAAGAAAGTCGTTTTCTTTGTGTCATTGTTTTGGCGACTAAAACAATATAAATGAGTGTGCATCAATAATGGAAAGAAAAGCCAATATGTTAATAGATTCTTTGAAAACAATTTAAAAAATCCAATGCTAGCGTTTTATTGGTATGGCGATTCAAAACATTAAATCCAACAATCCCCGTGGTGACTGGACGTAGTAGCCAAAGTGACATTAAAAGACTGGATTCATTTCAGAATATTTACGTATTCAACTGTATTTGAATGAAATCTAAATAAATATTTAGTGTCCTTTTTTCAGGTTGTGTGTTCTGTTTTTCCTTTGAAGGTTCAATATTTAATAATACTCCACGCATGTTCGAAAAAGAACTCGTGTCCTGGACATAAGGCGTGTTTGGGAAGCAGACCCCGACTGCGTTTCAATATTTATTAAGTTAAATTAGTGCTATCGACCTTAAACTTTATGTCATTCTGTTGCACATGTAACACATTCACCAAATACCGGTTAAACCTAACACAATACTTTTAAGATTAGATAATTTAAGCTTATATAGCATATATTGCAGAAATATTTTTTCCCAATGGGAAAGATAATACAAATAAGTCTATTCTCATATTACTTGCACAATTTTGAGAAAGAAAAACTCGTATGAAACTATTGACAAATCATGAAAACTTTTGATTAAACACAAAAATGTAAGTGTTGTATCAGATATGGCTTTTGAATACGACAGATAAGTCTATAAAAAAATTTTCGATTTACTTTTTCGAAATGTTGATTTTCTTTGCACGTGTGTGACATTTCATCCAGTGGTGTTAATATTTTAAACATATGCGGCAAAATAAGAGTTCTTTGTCTGTATTTAATTAAATATGTGTGTAAAGATATATTAATTCCATGGTGCAAAGTATACGTCACTACAGTCATGCTCCCTACTCTTTGATCACCACGTACTGATTACACTGACAAATCATAACAATGGTGGAATTTTTCAAATAGCCAAATTTCCATTTCAGACAATGTAATTATTTGCTTGTCCAGGGTATAGACCCTTTCATTTAAGCGATAACAGTCAGGGAAGAGTAATTTTCCTTACCGGATGTGACGGAAATAGGAGATTATACTATACAGGCCGCATAGAATGTTAGCTTATGCGTAAATACTGATCGTTCAATAATGATTATAACATGTAAAATTTTACTCATGCATGCAAAAATTCAATAAAGACAATAAAAAAAATACAAAAACAAAGATCGAGATTGATTCTCGCCATGGAGTGAAACAGCGAAATTTCAAAGTGAATATATTTATTAGATTTTCTCTAATGCCAGGATAAAAGGCTAGTAAATAAATCAAATTCTTTTAATATTTTATAAACACCCATACACACTGAAAATTGCCTATTATAAATTTAAATGGTCATTTTCTTGTTTTCTGTGTTATTTCCGCCATTTAGAAAATTCCGGCGTATTTGTGACAAACATGAAAATAAGATTGCCTAAGTTTTTTTAATGATTGTTTTCAAGCTTTAATAGAACAATAGAAGAATGATTTTCTGTCAATACTTACTGATTCTTTTTCAATATGCCGTATAAAAAATCTTTCAAAGAACCAGTGAAGGATATAAGTTTATTAATATTCCGGAAAGAACGAAAACCATGTGGCATTGACTTTTATAACTTTAGATTGGCAACAGACGATAATAAGATAATTTTGATATTACAAATCTAGTCTGATGTTCTTATGAATATAAAAATAAAGACATTTCCCCCAGTGACTTATTTCATAAATAAATAGATGTGTATATGTAAGTACCACTGGGCCGTAACATATTAATTAACAGGGTGCAAATGTTGTATATACAAGCGACACTTGGCTGTGATATCATAAATCACCAGGGTGCATTTTTAGAGTTATAACATAACGTCAGATTACGTCACTTTTGTTAGTTGACAAAATATCTATGGTCCAATTTTGGTAATGGATCATCCTAGGGACTTTGTGGTCATGCATTACTGATTTGATACTCAAGAGTCCTACCAACTGGCACAGTCAAAAATACTTAAATTCTTAGATGTACGATTTTTTGAGAGTGCCTTTCTTGCCAACACAAATAGTTTACAGTCATGTACATTCAAAAGAATTTTACTTTTTATGCCTCAACATTATTTTTTTGAATTACATAGATTTATATTGTTTTTTTCTTTGTCTTAATAATGCTTAAATCAAAATAATTTTTTATCAACCAGTATCCTGCAATTAATTATTACGCAGCCGTTTTACGAAACTACGGAATACTTAAATTTTTGAAATTCAAAATATCTTTTGGGTATTGTATATTAGCAGAGACATAGATACATTATCTACATCTCTGGTATTAGCAAGTTAGTTCGATTTAACTGCCTGGTAAAATTTTCATCATTAAGAATCAAACGAAAATGGTAATCATGATCAGTTACTTAGCCATATGGTGTACTTTTAAAACAAATCGTTAACCTTATTATAGTAAACATTTTTATTCATTTTTATGTGATATCTTATTCAATTACACATTTATTTGCAATTTCAATCTGCCAATCTTTCAAGAGAAAGGATTATGATCTGTATATCCCTCTATTTATGTACTTAATCGTATCACCAATGTCCATCGTATCCCAAAATGACGTCATCCAAGGGCGACAACTTGGATACGGTCTTAAATGAAAGGGTCTATTAACCAACTTAAATCTACATCTCGCCGTTACAATCTTCCACCGTTCTGTGACTTTGCGTCAATTATAGTACATTGCTATAGTCATTTAACGTATCATTATTCCATTCTTATTTATATAGTCTACATGTAATAATTAATGATATATTATAATACAATACAATGAAAATTGTAAGTTAAGACGGTGTGAAATAAAGCCTAATCTGTTTTTAGTAACGGAAAACAAGCAGAACACACGCCATGTACAGCTTTTAATGATTACATAATACATTTTAGCGTGATATGGGTAATATCTAATGAGTTTTAACGCAGCAGTACAATAAGACGTATGATTTGATTTGTTTTTTTTTTTTTTTTTTTTTTTGGTTTTTTTTCTCAAGTGAATATGAAATGTATCTTACTGTAAGTTCATTTATATTTTTATTCCAGCACGCTGTGTGCTCGTAAATTACATTTATTCTAAATTCACCTAACTACCGCCTCTGTGTATCATAAATTTTGCAGAAAGTTTGCCAAAGCAATTAACAGCAAAATGAACACTTTTCGTTTATTTTTATTAAACTGATTTGCATTACATTTTATACAATTATTTTATATACAATGCATTCTTACAAATGTTAAAGAAAAACATTTTCGCATGAAATTAATTGATGTCATCCCCATAACCTATTTAATTCACGTGGTTGAATACTTATATTCAAAATGCATGCATTATAATTGTCAGAATAAGGACAATCAAATAACACATGATTATGGTGTCTTGTATTTGCTATGCATTAATAAAACAAAGAATTTCAAAGAAATTGTCATATTTGAATCAGGTATTCTTCACAACATGACTAAGAACATTTGTTCTTCAAATATGGCTTTCCTATTTCAAACAGAAATACAAGGGGGAATATGTATTTCAAACATGTAATGTAACAATATCCTAATGTAGTCTTCGGACTGTTCCAGTTTTTTAATAAAACACATAATAGACACATTTATTTATACCAATAGTAAAATCACTTTCAAGTATTGGCTTCAAAATTTGCTTGTATAAATTCATTTTACAGTGGAACATTTGTTGGTATATGTTTTGCACTTCTTATACTATCCTTATCACGTTAGGTAATAAAGCCCCAAAATCTTTATAGTCTACGGTGGACAAATCCAGCATTATTCTGACATTCAAAAATTTGGTTTTAAATTTCACAAACAAATGGCCTGTTTGAAGTGCAATCTGTCGAATCATACCAATATGTATTGGTATAATGCATAATAATACAAAAACCATTATGGGGTTCTTCAGATACCCAGTCGAAGAATTTTTTTTCAGAGCCATTTACGGTCAACCATACCGAGTCCTTGCGCTGACCATCAATATAAACGTATGTACCAAATCCCTGCAGAAATTTCTTGACATCACCATTCTTAAACTCTGAATCAATGTTAATCACGTGACCACCATCTGCCTGACACTGCTTTTCAGCATCATCAAAAGTTTTCAAATGGACATACAGTTTTACACAGAATCCATTTGCAGTCAGGTTATAGTCCTTGGGACAAAATCCTTCACATATGCCGATGTCTGTTTCCGTCGTCAACTTATCCCCTGATTTATATCTGCCACACTTTCTCGTTCGTTTTCGTGAAGCTATGTATCCTTCGTTAAATGCACCACATTTTGTCCATTGTGTCCAGTCATAGCAAGGATGGAGATTTTCAAGGTTCCGAATTGCCATTCCTAACAGTGTAATTACTGGCTTATCCAACGTCCTTCCAAGTTTTAACAACATTTCGCCGTTAATATCTTTCTCGGCTGTTCCGTTACTTTGTATCAATGACGCAGAGGAAATGTCCATTGTAACTATTACCACTGAGATAATAAACACTAAAAATACCGTTCCTCCTCTCATTTTCATTACAAATAACGTGTTACACCTAACGTTTAATAACTTTGTTATGTTCAGAGAAGGTTTAATTGATAATTAATCTTTACGACAACGAATAAAATTTTAAAGTGAATGTTCTCTTCTTTGTAGTACAAAACACACTCTTTATGTTATCCGAGTACTTTGAATTTGTGACGCACGGCTTATTCTAAATGATTTGCAAAGATATCCTAACATATTTGCTTTGAAGTAATAACATGTCTTGGAAGTAGCCAATGTTTTCCTTGAACATTCCTCGCTGTACAGATAAAACTTAACGAAAATATCTCAGTTTATCATTTACATGATTTAAAATGTACAGATTGCAAATTATTTTTACTTGCTACCAAACATTGCTTATCAAATTTGATAGAGTTCAAAGGTTTGTTAAGCTGTCGGAATTGAAAGTTATTTAGACAGTGCAATCTTCATTAGTTGGCAGTTTAACCAATGTAAATCCCTACACTTGACTAACGGGCAACAACATTTTGAGATAAGGTGATCTTAGATAATATAGCTTGAAATTGTATAAATGTTCTTCTTGAGTGTAAAGATAATAGAAGAAAGTTTATTCGCAGTGTACTTGTAAATTCTTGATAGAAAAAATATCTTCTTAAGATTACTGAGCAATCCTTGTAAAATTTCAATAATTATTAATTAGTAAGAAGTGTTATTAAGAGCAACGGGCAGTATAAATTCTTACGTTTCCGCCTGAACATCATCAACTTTCACGATATGGCTTTTCTGAACATTATAAAACTCAATGTTTTTCTGAGAATATTCATTTTGTTTATAAATACATGTTCATCTAGAAGCATTCAGGAAAACATTACATTGGAAATCATTCTTATGTTGTTTTTTGTTTGTTTATTTTTCAGTCATGATTAAAGTTTTTCTAAGACTAACACAATATAAATGATTATTCATCAATAATGGAAAGAAAAGTCAAGATGTTAATGGAGTCTAAGGATACAATTCAAAAACTCCATTGCTATAGCGTTTTATTGGTATGGCGATTCAAAACATTAAATCCAACAATCAGTGTGTTTACTGGACATAATAGTCAAAGTGTAGTCAATTATAGACGGTACATATGTGAAAAATTCTGCTGATGCAATAAATTAACGGAAAACAGATTTCGTGTAAGCCTGTATGTCCATCTGAAAAACAATGTCAGACAGTGTGCGGTGATCAGTTATTTACATTATTAGTCTGAGTAAAAGAATGGTGATTTAAAGAATTCAATGTTGGGAATCCATAATAATGCTTAAATTGATGGTGAGCGCAGAAGAAGATTTTTTTAACTGGGCACCTTTAGTCACATAATGGTCTCCGTATCATGTTATATTATAAAAATTTAAATTCGTTTCATTTGACCGTTTTTACTACCAAAAAGGCTGATTATTTGTGAAACATAACATTACATAAATATTTTGTGAAATATAATATTTAACATTTCATCTACACCAGAACAAACACGTGAACACTGCACATATTGCATTACATGTTTTGTCCAGGTAGAATAAATTATAATAGAATTTATTAAAGCTGTCTGCGTACGAAATAGTGTTGTTATATATAAGCAAAACATATAAATCATGGAAATTTGACTTAACAATACTTATGCAGTTTTAAAACAACATCAGTAGATTCAAACCAGCAAATCGGTACAAAACGATATTAGAGTTCCTGACCGCCATATACCATTCGGTTCTGGCAACATTTAATATAGCAATAGGTAGTTATATTTGCGCTTGGGTAAAGTTGGACTTATATGTGGAACTATACAATTATAGCGACCCTTTCATTTAATATAATGATGTTATGCCTCTGAAATTGCTTTAAATATTTTTAGTATTCTTTTGTGTAAATGAGATTATTTCCGATGGAATTAAGTCGTACGATCTTTTGTGAAAATAGCCTCAAACTTAATTGACAAGGTGGCACACTAGCTGCTTCCAAAACCTTTCTTAAACAATTTTTGTGTGTATGTGCTAGATGGCGATGTACAATGTTTGAGTGGAGAAATAAAAAGGACTAAAATTAAAACAAACTATTTTTGTTTATTTTGACTATTTTCTTCACCATTTTGTATTTTATGAATAAAAATTAACATTATGTTAAGTCATACAAATAACCAAGACTCCTGAGTATCGTTGACAAATCAATTACGAACATACAATTTAATTTATAATTTAAATTCTTGCACGATGTCTAAATAACTTAGTCAACTTACCTTGGTTATGCTTACAAAACATTATTTAAACGAGATTATGATAACATGTATTTGAATAATTATAGGTAAAATGAAACGGATATTATTTTTACAAACAAATCATATATTGTTAGACAAAGCCTACTTTTGCATAGAAAGTAGACAAACAAAACAGCTTGAAGGGTCAAAATAACTCTTAGTTTGTGGCAACGCTGACTGACAATTCATATTGGATATAAAATGGCAACTTCAAGATTTGAAATATTTCTATTTCTTGTATGATGTTATTCAAAATACGTTGTCAAGCATATATTGTTTTTGCTATCGAAACAATATGTAAAGTTAATATTTACATTATCAATATCATTACATCATGTGTTTCAATAACAGTTGAAATATAACGTTATTATCAAAAAGACATAATATGATGATTGGATTATATGAATAACACTTACCGGCTAGAACCCTTTGCCCTTACTCATCTAGTTAAGACCCAAGCTATCCTACACACCTGTGCAATCTGATATGCTCTTTGCTGTTGGCTGACCAGAATAAATTGATATTTTCAAAATTGAAATGGACATTTTAAAAAATTCAAGCTGCAAAATTTAATCTCAGACATCATCCACTTAACTGTTAACTAAGGTATCGATAAAAACATACCAGCCATAAAAGTTATTTCTAAATTTTGTGTTTTTTGCAACATTTAACTTCATTAAAGCTGCACGCCTCCAGATGAGTCAAAATATTTCAAGATATTCAATCTTTAGGAAAATGTATTAAGATCTCAAGAAAAGTTAAAAGATTCAGTATTCAATTAATCATTAACATGTTATGTGCGATTAATGACTGATTTTGCAGTATCAATCACTATAATTATACTGCGTTACTAACGCAGTAAGAGGTATTTATGCATATTTTGACCCCTTTTTGGTAATTTACGTGGATTGTAAGTGCCGTTTGCAATGTTCAAATTATTTTCTTTGTTCAATTCACAATATTTCACTTTTAAATACATTTTCAAAATTTTCATGAAAATTAGCATCAATCTGGAGGCATGCTGCTTCAAACATTAAAATTGCAACTTCATCTCACAGACATAACTATACTTCAACCAGTGACATATATTAAAATAGGTAAAATATGTGTAACACATACAATATTTTGGAGTGATTACCGAAATCAGAGAATATTAACCTGACAGATATTCTATTATTTAGTGCATTAAATTTTGAAGACACATTGCCAGAATTCAGCCATATTCTACATTTTTATCCATAACACAAAAAAGAAATTCCATCGTTTTTAAAAATTGTAAGATTATACATCTGGTACGTCATCTTATTTAATTTAAACAGAGAACTCATCTAATTTATACAAAAATAAATAAATTTGAAGGCAACAACAATAAAACTGTAATGTAAATTAATTATAAAAATTCATAATATAGTTGAAATATATTGGATCCAATCTGTACAGTTTTCACAATATCACACGTATGTGTTCAAGTTTGGTAACGGTTTCCAAAGTTTTTTGAAAGGTGGATGGGTTGCAGGCACACATTTGGTACCACCGAGCGGAGGTTGCCATTGCCCATTGACACATGTCGCACCGCCTGGGCCATCTACTCGAAATCCCATGTCACAGTCATATTCGAGCCGGTTACCATGACGTATGGTACTAATGTACGGCTTAAAGTCAAATCTACTTTCCTGGCTCTTTTTATAAATCTTTCCGTTCTCGATTGTTCCTGGGTTTGGACAATAAACTGTAAAATCAATAGTAAAGATTTAAGAAATATTTAGATAGTTATCTTAACATCAGATAAGAATTTTTTTTGCACCTGATCATATATCTTCTTAGAGCCTTCAACAAACTCCCAGTCTTAACGTGCGCATTCTGACAATAAGGACTTCTTGCATTATATCTTTTTGTTTTGTTTTGTTTTACGGCGCACCAACATCGATTAGGTCATATGGTCCCGAAACAGGAAAGATGATTTGGCTTACCTCGGTTGTTACAGACTTAACCCAATACCAGGGGTCAAAACTACCTAACCTGCTTGAGTTGAGAGATGCTTAGACTCCAATGATTACGAGCACGCAGGGTAGAACAGAAGCTTCAATTCTGATGCCTCAATCCCTAAAGGTAACCCCTTAGCCACAAGGAAAATGCAAAATGAATAAGTAAGTTGCAAATATTTATAAAAGATCGTACTGATGCGTTGGCGTTCCGAAAAGTCATGTTTGCAAGATATATTTTAACCATCTAGAAAATAATATTTCATTCGTCGTGTGTCCAAAGTCGCTCCAATACGTTAACCAAATGCAAAGCGTTCGTTGACTGGCGCAATCAGATTATGATCAGCTACTATGTATGTCTAGCGGTTGCGAAGTAACTTGAAAACCGATATATTTTGTGAACATGAATGGTATGTAGCAAATATATACATATTGCGGCTAATTAAATTTTAAGAAAGCGGATGAATACATATTTTGGCTAATTTGATTTTTAATTTGACGACGAATTTAGAAAAATGAAGGACAAACGCTTGCATATGAATCATTGAAAAATGTAACACGTTATAATATGCGATTCCATGCGAACCATATCGCATAAATATTTAATAAAGTTTAGTTATTCGACAATTTGCGGTGACCTATATCAGCCGTGCGTGCTTTACAGTCCATATATATAACAAGAGCGATCAGTGATCACATGTGTCCCATAGCTCTAACTTAAATCATTGAACCGGAAAATGCCGATAATATGCACAATTACACTCGGTACTGCTCATTCCTATAAAGTTCATACAAAGATTGTTTGTGCGACGCAAATGGCGCTTAATGGTCATTCGTCAATATATGCAATTCATCATTAAAACAATCAGTGCCCCTACCTCTAACCTTCCCTATATTTCAAATACTGTAAATGGTTATGTTTCAAGTACTGTTGCAAATTTTCTGACAGTTTTCGGTCAATAGTTTCCAGAACAAATAATTTACTCCCATACACTATACTGCATTTTACGGATTTCTTTAGATGTGAGATTCCGTCCTTCAAGAAACGGAAGGTGAGTATATGCAATTATTCAATACTCCTTATATTACACTTAAACTTAGTAGCACCTCTGTTCGACATCCGTTAACGAAACAGAAGTTCGTGAGTATGTAAATAGTAATAACGACATAACCTGAAAGTGTACTTCTTGACCTTTGATCAATAATGAACTTGATGTTGTGACATGCATGTCAGAAGCACATAGTCTTACGATGGTGATTATTTGTGCCAAGTTATCAAGAATTATCCATAAAGTCAAAAGTTATGGAGAAAATATAACCTTGACCTTGGGTGTAAGAACCTGGATGCTGTGATCTGCAGATTGTGTCACGGTGGAGATCGTTTGTGCCATGTAATTTTAAAACCTTTTAAGTGTCAATAAGTGAAAGAGCGGACATGACAAAAAAGATGATTTTACATTGGGCCTTTGAGTGTGACCCTGACCTTGCGGGTTGTGGCTCTGCCAATGGTGTCATAATGGTGATAATTTCTGCCGTGTTATCTTTTAAACATTTCAGCGGTTTAAATGTTATGGAGTGGACATGAAATGTAGACTTTCTAACATTTGACCTATAAGTGTGACCTCGACCTTGGGGGTAGCAACCCAATCATTGCGCTCTGCACATCATCTCATTATGGTGAAAACTTGAACCAATTAATTTTAAACAATTTTTAGCGGTTTAAAATTATGGAGCGGACATGAAAGTGTAACAGACGGACACACGGACGAACAAACTTACAGACGGAGATCATTCCTATAATCCTCTCCCCGCTACGCGGAAGGAGATTAACAAAAACTGACAAATTAAATTTTGGTCTCAATTAATTTTATGTAAATGTTATTTTACTGAACACTCATCTAGAACAATAGCAGTATTTTTCATAGCAGCTGATATATATTCAGCTGTTTAAAGTACAAACTTCTCACCTTTTGAGCAGTATTAAACCTAAGTTTTAATCTGTTGTGCTGTTGTCAAAAGGTTACTGCTTTACAGAGGATAAAAATATAGATCATATACAAAAAATTAGGAGAACTTTGCAGGCTCAATCAAACCGAGCCTGAAACATTTTCAATTTTGCCGTGTTGGGCTTTCTTTAGGGGTTCTTATTTTTTCTTTTTTGCAATCATGCCTACTTTTATCACTTTTTATTGGAAATTGGACAGTAAAAGGAATTTTACAAAATCTTTGCACAACTTATTTAATTTGATTTCAATCGAACAACTTACATTCCGTACATAGAGGTGTTCCACCTGTCCAGACACCAAACTCACACGTGAGGTACGTCCCGTCCATTCCTGTAAGCTGGAACCCTGCAAAACACTTATATTTGGCTCTAAATCCGTGACCTTGCCCCATGTAAATACGCATTCCATTCAATACGTGTGGCGGACCGGACTGACAAGGTGCTGAAAGTGAAGAAGTACCAAACACTGTTCTGTCTTTCTTATAAATATATTGTTCTTGATTTGTTCGATGTTATGGATATAAGTTATTTGATTTCCTTGTATTTATCAGGAATAATCTGTCACTTGGTTGTTTTTAGGTTTTTGAAGGTACATTTTATTACATTTATATCATAATCTTGGAATTATTACGTTATAAGTTCGTCCTGTATGATTCATTACCCACAGTTTACATACATACCCGGTAAACATTCGGCGGTAGTCGACCAAGTTCCGTTATAACATTTCATTATCGGTGAATCACGTGGTACAAGACCGCCTCTGCAGTAGTACTCAATTTCCACGCCATGGTCTTCGTATGGTAATATTCGTCTATCAAGATAACTAACATTAGGCAAAACTGGTACTTTGCACTGACCTTCAAAACATGAAGTTAAAACTATGTGAAAACTCTATCAACACATACAAGGTCTATTGGTTGGAGACCACCAAACCCGGACGGCCCCGAAAATGCCGTTTTTTGTTCAGAGGTTGTTGATCTATCAGTCGCTTTAATATCAACATTAACTGCATGTTTGTTCTATAATTAAGTAGTTAAATTTGTTTCATTTTTCGTAAACAGTAATTTTTTAATGTCTTTTTAATGTCTTTTTCAAGAACGTTGACATTGAAAATTTGGACGTCATGAGTGCAATACCTGACCACTTATACTAGCTGTAATCATTTGAAGAATAAATAATAGAATATCCAAAACTTCAGCATTTGCTGCTGAAATATTTTATATTATGTTAAAAATGAAAAAAATAAAACACCAAAGCTTTTATTGAATTAAATCAACATCATGGACATATCTGTCCGCACATATGGTACAGTAGTTTAGACAGTTTAAGTAATTTTGATACTCTCCTTCACAGGTCTCAGATATAAGTGTCAACATTATCAGAAATAAACAAACTAGTCCGTTAGTTCGGAGAAGAGCCTAGCTGTACTATGTAAAATGTTTAGATCTCTAGCTTTAAAATTATATAATGTGTAAAGAAAAATGTTCAAAAAGTGTCCGGTCGGTGGTTCCAAGCCTTTATCGATTTAATGTCAGCTCATTCGAAGACCCATGTACTGAGTAAAAGACTTTAAAAATGACAAATGTTTTATACAATCGAATACATCAACTGAACTTTTGCTTTACTTCTTAGCAAAATCATGCTGAGTCAAAGTAAAAAAAAATCTCCCATTTCGTACACAATAATGTATAAAGAAATGTATCATTTTGGACTGGTGTCTAGACGTTTTCAACATACCCCAGCATGTTGGTAGATTTTCAGACCATTTGCCGGACTTCAAACACTCGGCCTCCAGGGCTCCTTGCAGCTTTGTACGAACATTACACCTTAACATGATAAATCAATATATTAAACAAGGAAACAAACTAATTGCAAATAGATATAAATTCATATAATGAAGATTTAAAATTACCATCTAATATACATGTACAAACAAAATATATAGAGAGAGCAGGATAAATACACTTGGACGACAATATCTGGATAGATGATATTCAAATTTAAATTAAATCAATCATAATATCTATACATAATGTATCTGTAAGTACTGGTAAGTGACCCGAAAATTTATAACATACATGAAATTTAAAGATTTTTAATAAACCTGAAACGTATAATTGATCCGACAGTTGTTTTCTGGTCGTCAAGGTAACCATTGTGTAAAGGTCCTGGCCAGGCACAGCTCATCTCTGTAAAATATATAATTGCAAGGTAGGTCGTATGAATTGTTTGTGGGGTTGAGTGTATTTCATTCGGATGTTAAAAAATGGTATGTTGAACAGCTTTGAAAGTCACGTGGAACTTAATTATATTTTTCCTTTTCAGCTAAGATGCAGTAATAATATCTTAATATAGAATTAACATTTATAATAGTAAGCATTTAAAGTTAGATTCTCAGACTGTCTGTGTAAAATTATAATTTATTGATCATTGTTCTGTCGAGTTCTTTTAATTCAGTGATATACATTATGCAATAGAATTTCTGAACTATCATCCAGTACAATAGGCAGTTTTCTTGGTTACTTTAAAATGCACTTAGCCCTGCTCCTGCCGAAATCGAATGTCATCCTATAGAGCATGGCCAGACTATCAACTTTTTGTATTTTAATATTGAATATAGACTCCCTCCATTTTCATTAACTTTCAAATTTTATATACAAATTAAACAGATTAATGGTTTAAATAATTCAACTCATTGGTGACTAGTTTAAACCATAACAAAGTTCAATACTCTTTACTAATCCCACCAAAATAAGAATAGGAACATTAAACATCTTATATTTCTCAAACTGTTTTGTAAAAACTTTTGGCACCCTTAAATCGATATATTTCTTGTATGTTACCTTCACATCTAGCATGTTGTCCACTCCATGTCCGATCTGCCAGGCAACGTCTTTCAAATGACCCTACGTTTTTGTATCCGGTATCACAGTGAAATCTGATAACCGTACCATAATCAGTCCCGTCACCGTACATTCGGCCGTGTAGAGGTGCAAAAAGTCGAGGACATGTAGACGCTTTGAGTTGACAACAATATTGAAGTAATACACACAAATATCCGAATCACAATGACATTATGATATTATAGAGAGAGAGAAAATACAAGCACAAGTTATAAGATATAAAATAGTTGGACGATGAAAATGATTGATTGAATAAATTAATTGAAGGGCTAAAAGAGGAATGAGCAGACTCAGTGTTTGTACATCTTTGCTACGGTTTGTCCGAATTAACGCGACATTGAAATGAATGAATGAATGAATGATTGAATTAACACAGTTTAAGACAATTCATGAATATCTAACAGTCAAAAGTGTTAAAATTTAAGATTTCGTTTTTTAACGAAAAAGTTTGTCAAAGACTTACGGTATTGAATAAATTCATAGATTCTGAAATACAACATATGAATGTGGAAAACATAATTAATTACGTAAGCAAATCATTGATGGTCCAGTCCATTCGCCATCATCGTTGCATACTGCATATATCTGGCCTTTTGCATAAAAGCCGTAAAAGCACGTATAAAGTAGACGGTGACCTGAGGAAAACTGTTGCTGTTGTGGATTACTGTCATGGCTCGCATGCGCTATATCTGGTGGACTAAAGCATATTGCTACAAAAGAATATAACAATACAGCTTAATCAAGTAAGTTTTTTAAAACACAGTTATAGCTGAGGTGTTTTTATTTTATTTTGACAGTTAAGATATAATACCCGTTATATAGCTGTTAAAATAATTTAAAGTTACAGATTGACAATTTTCGGTATAAAACATAATTCAATTTTAAAAGGTCGCGATTCATTAGAAGTTGATATATGTAGTTACTTACTGAGACTATTTTGCTTTTGTTAATATGTCAGAATTCTGGTAATAATTGATAATTCTTTTTGTACTAATTGTTATATGTTAATAAAATCAGATTTCTAATATATTTTGTATACAAATTTGTAAATGGTCTAAGGGAAGTAACAGATACAAACATGATAAATATTTCTGTAAAAGTTATCGGTCCTCATAGTTATATAAGGTTGATTATTGAAGAGCATGAAGTGAGCAGTACAGGTGTCTTGCAACGGGCAGTCAGCAATGTTTCAATCTTGCAATTTAAAGGCTTAAAAGTAGATATGCAGGCTTCATAACCTCTGATCCCCTTTCTAAATTCCATTTTATTTAGTTCCGCCCATTGTTTTCTTGTTAAGGGCACACGCATTTTTTGACTTGGGACCCATATGCCTCTTTTCATGGAATGGCACTCAGTTGTCACATTGAAAGTTCCATGATAACCGCCATATGAACACATCTGCAGATGTTTCAAAATTCAAAATTGCACCAGTTCATATTAAATGTTGAATTCTGCTTCAGCCGATGCTAGGGGCGTGGACGGTAACTTGCACTTTCCAGTTCCGTCCATGAACAGGCTCAATTAAACCGAGCCTGCAACATTTTCAATTTTGCCGTGTTGGGCTTTCTTTAGGGTTCTTATTTTCACTATTTTATCGCCACATCAGCGTTGTTTGTGCCATTTGGAGGCTGTTAAAAGTCGCCCCGTACATTCAATCAGATATGTTATATTTCCGATCCCTAAAGATAGTTCAGCACGGCATTATTGTTGTGCTTGTGGTAATTTAGTCCTTTCTATTCGGCTGGTGGTTCCAGTATTCCTCTCAATCATCCCTTAGTTATGTGGCCTGCTTTTTAAATTTTTCTTTTGACGTCTTATCTGTAATATGCATGCTTCATAACCTCTGATCCCCTTTCTAAATTCCATTTTATTTAGTTCCGCCCATTGTTTTCTCGTTTAGGGCACACGCGTTTGTTTACTTGGGGACCATATGCTGCTTTTCATGGAATGGCACTTACGTGTCGAATTGAAAGTTCCATGATAACCGCCAAATGAACACAGCTGCGGATGGTTCAAAATTCAAAATTGTACCAGTTCATGTTAAATGTTGAATTCTGCTTAAGCCGGTGCTTGGGGGCGTGGACGGTAACTTGCACTTCTAAGTTCCGTCCGTGAACAGGCTCAATCAAACCGAGCCTGCAACATTTTTAAATTTGCCGTGTTGGGCTTTCTTTAGGGATTCTTACTTTTTCTATTTTAATAGCGCGGCGTAACCGATAAAGATTAGCGGCATTAATTTAGAAGTTATATGGTTGATCAGCTTAGTGACATGAAAACCAAAGTATGTAGTCATAGTAAAGCGACCATGCAGCTATGAAAATAGCAGTCTAGCGACTGAGCTGCCTTGAAACGCAAATGAGGCAGCAATCTATTAGCCTTGTGGACATGCAGCGTGTCGTCATCAGCCCGATGCCATTCAGCTAGTAGCATAGTATATTTCATTCTTTAATCAACATATTTCTTGGGGAAGCTAACAATTATGACGATAGGCGAAAATAAAAAGAAAAACCTCGATAAGAATTAGTGCAAGCATAAATAAAACCTGTTAAATAGTAATGATGTAACAACGAATAAAGTATCTTATGCAGTTTAAAAATGATCAGTGATCAAGAAATTGGGAATATCGTGAGTTAATAATTTATGGGAAGTAGTGTGTTACAGAAACGAATTATTTTAATTACAGAAATGAAAAGATATATGTACCACGATTACGTGTGCAAGTTATATTAGGCCCAACCCACGCCGGCTTAACTCCTCCTACACACCAAGCTCTTAAAACCTTGTCATTGCTTAGAACGTAATCAGGTTCACACTTGTATTGCAGCCAGGTTCCAAGAACAAATCTCTTCTGGCCAGGCGGACCATCATGAGTCGCATGGGGTACTTCCGGTGGTGGTGGGCATAACTCTTTCTCTGTCGGAAATGAATGCACTTTATAATTAGTTTCAACATACTGATTTTAGACCGATTGTGATGAAAGCTTGAAGACTATTTGAACAGCCATTAACGCGTGCTGGTGTCATAACAGAAAGCATGGTCTAGACACTAGTAGTGCTCGAACCCATGATACCTTGATTAAAATAAGTAATGTCCTCGAGTCAAAGCATTAATGTGTCTAAATTTAGTCCAAGTGTCTCTGAGCGAAGGAATATCAAAGTCGTGTGCCATTCATTATGTGATTGTAATTTTTTTTTCTTATTAAAATTAACAAATTACATTCAAAGTGTTGGGTAGACTTAAACTATGGTAGACTTAAACCGAACACCAGCAAAATAGGTAGATTCTATCAAAATAACAATGGTGTGAAAATATCTAACAAAATTGCACTGCAGACTTACCCACATTATGGGCAACTATGCATTGAGGTATAGATCCGCTCCAAGTTTCATCACCTTGACACACCCTTGCTTGGTCACCATGCAATCTATAGCCATCCTTGCAAAAGTACTGGGCCACAGCACCGAACCGGTTATTCGACATTATTTCTACCCGACCATGCGGGATATTAGCCAATGGTTGACATTCTTGATCTAAAAAGACACATATATCGCACGTATTTTATATTCTTAAAAAAAAATAGTTTTAACGTAACATTAAATCTATTATGTGTATATCATTATTATATACAAACAAAAATATTATGTTTATTTGGTTCTTATGGGAAAGTATGAATTAAACCAAATATTCATAAATGTTTGCATTCTTAATTTCCTAAGTTAAAATGTATAAATGAAGATTCTTTATAATGGAAAATATACTGGTTATGATTTACTTAATTTGATACAGCTCATGCCACAAAGGCCATCGCATTGGCATACTTTCTTGTGAGAACGACAATCTCTATTATTTTGGCAGGATTTTCTACAAGTTCGACCAAGTGGGAGGTATTCCTGTCTCTCTTGGCATGACCCGCCTGCTTCTGAAATATAAACAAACGTCAATGACGAGAATTGTTTGGAAAAAAAGACAACAAAACTTTACATTGTAATCAATTAAATCATTAATAACATATGAATTTTAACATATATACACTATGACAATAAGACGTCCAATATATGATTTTTTATTATTTGTTTTATTTTGGTTGGGGATCCTATAAACACAATTTGACGATGGTGAAACTAGGTCACATGTACAGAAAATGTCTGTATTGTTGAAGGACATGTTTTAATTATACTGCTAAAGAAGGGATAAATGTTGGCGTTTTCATTGAATCAGGAAGTGGTATGCACAATATTAATGCACATTTATTGACGACATCTGTAGAAGAGAGAAGTAAGTATAGTTAATACAATTAACAAAATATTTGATAAATTCATAAAGGTATTTATAGACACATTAAGCCTAAAAATGTTATAATTTCATTTTTCAAAAGCTTTTCATCTTGATTATTCTTTTACTGACACATTGGCTGATACCAGAACCATCTTTTGCTATTTTTGTCTTTAAGCAATTAGCAAAGTTAAGTGCGTTAGTATTTTGAATGGAATCTAGAAAAAAAGACTTAGCCCTATGAAGCATTAATAACAATGAAATTACATGAAAACCACAGACTCGGTTTGATTGAGTCTGTACATTAGGGATAATTAAAAGGTGCAATATTCCTCACGCCCCAAGCTGACTTGAGCGGTACTCAATTTGCAACACTTAAAGTGCTGAAATCAATGCTCCCGAAGGACCAGAAAAAATATAAAAACACTGAAGTGAAGTACGAACCACAAGAAACTTGACACCTTCTGTTTTGAAGTACAAATATCTGGAAAAAAGGAGAATCCCTCGGAAGCAACAAAATAACATGGAAACTGTAGAGTCGGTTTGATTGATTCTGTATATGAGGGATAATGATAAATTGCAACATCCTTCACGCTCCCTAGCACCGGCTTGAGCGGTACTCAATTTTCAACATTAAAACTTAAAGTGCTGGAATCAATGATCCCGAATGACCCCCCTCCCCCCAAAAAAAAAAAAAAACACTGAAGTGAAGTTAAAATACCACTTTGTTTACATTAAGATACCTTTCTCAGATATGATATCATATACAGCGCATATATCCTAGTATGAGATATTTATTTAAAAGCATTTCATTCATTCAGGAAAACATATTTAATACATTTACACAAACGTATGTGAAGCATTTACACAAATGTATTAAGACATTTATTCATAAGAATGAAACACTTTACAAAAATATTACAATTAAGATATTCCAAAAAAACAAAAAAAACAAAAACATTTAAAACATTAAACAAAAGTGTTTTAGAATTTTATACAAAGTGTTAAAACTTCCATCCAAATTGTTTATGACCCTTACACAACGTTCTTGAAAGATTTGTAAAATTGTGTCTCGCAAATTGTTATTTACATGCTTTTATTATGGTATCATATTTATGTTATGTATAAAAACCTAATTAAGATATTTTGCAAGAATTTAAGATATTTATTCAAACGTAATCAAGATGTTCGTATCATATGTAACAACTATTATAAAAGTCATCACGGATCACGGATAAATGTTAGGTGAACAATCGGTTGCGATATGAATAAGTTCAAAACAACTTGTTTCTATAGACAAGCTGTCAACAAATGCCACCTTTGTCAATACCAAAAGAGAAGTCAATAATGAAAAAAATGCTTGCAATCTATACAGAAAAGGCTTGCAGCATTTCAATGTAACTTTACTACTGTTTATTCAATTAAAACAGGAGTTTTTCTTTAAGTCAACGAGATATTTCATGCACGTTTAGTGTTAAAATGCACTACGGATATAATATAAAAAATATCAACTATGATTCAATTCTGTTTTGTAAATAATATTTTTTGTGATAGGAAACGCGGTACTTTACAACTCATTTTTAAAAAAGCACTTTATCATAAGGCTCAGATAAGAAGAAAAAATATTCAGAAATCCGTTCTAGAGATTCTCTCACGGCGTATCATTTACTTTGCTAATACCACGTTAATGTTATGATAGATTATGCAACAGATTGTCTACAATAACTTACCTGTCGTAAATTCCAGAACATTCCACAAAACTGTACAATACAATAACATACACACAACACGTCCGTTCATTCCTGCATTTTATCTGCGCAAATAATTTTTTTTTATTAAAGAAAAAAGCTATTAAGCCATCTTTGTTTTGCTTTGTTCAGAGTCGTTTGTAACGTTTTCTTTCACCTCTATCTTTCAAAGGCACGAATTCCTTTTAATATTTCATTTTTCGTAAAATGTTATAACTTAATTTAAACTACACATTTTTTTTAATTTAAATTAGCTTTTCACATTATCAAGTTATCTGCATTTAATTATCCAAGATTTTAAAATCGAAAAAGAGGAAGGTTAAATAGCAAATAATAAATACAATATGTTTATTACACTCTCTTTTAACATAACACTATGTTTTATCTAAAGGTAAATGTATATTGTGTGCTGCTGGTAGCACTAGATAAATGATACTGATTCTCGATAAATATCTGTTAATATCAGAAATGACGATTATGTTATTTTGTGTGTCAGTCTTCGTGGGAATTACGCATTCTGACAATATTCCAAAGTATGTTATGTAATTAATTCATAGATGTTATACTACTATTACTGTTTATTAGGACATATTAAAAAAAAACAAATAAAATACATATGTATAATGCACGGATTAGGATATACAATGGTAAAATAAAATACTTCGCATAAACCGTGAACAATAATCTATAGTGGTTAAATTAAAAACAACTTAATTAACAAATGAAAAATCAAATAATTTGCATAAACCGCACACAAACATTCAAAGTCTAAAATTAAATACATCTGCATAAATCACACATAAAACATAAACAACTATTAAATCAAATAGAATGCATAAAGAACCAACAAGAAATTATTGTAGTCAAATTTTATACATCTGCATAATACAAGCATAACACAGCATTGTAAATGTAACAACTCAACTCAACTCTTTTATTTCATAATCAAAGGCCTCTGGCCCAAAATATGTATCAAACAATAAAGTAGCATTTGAATCAGGTTATGTCAATATATTAGTATTTATGACATAAATTTCAACATAATAGCAGTATCTACGACATTGTCTATTAACTTCAATACAATAACAGTTTTTATGACATATACAATATATAATTACAAGTGTTCAATGGACTCACAAAGGTCTATACATGTTTTTAAATTTAGTGTCATCTACATGCATATAGATTGACTTATTTCAATCGGAAGAACATCATTTTACAGAGAATTGTGATGCATTTTCTAATAAAACACAATTTCCTGTCGTTAAAAAAGGTATATTGATAGTGAAGATAACGAATCCATTAATTTAAGTGGGGTAAATAGGATTTCATTGTCAACATTATCCATCTGGTGTATAAGTAAATGCCGCGGAAAATTTATGTTATAGTTACACATGGAAGTACGCGGTGATCACAATTTAAGAAAGCTATTCTTTTATGATATGATCAAATAAATTTAACATAAAAATGAGCATAAATGACACTGTTCACAAAATTTCCGGGACGAATCTTTTCCCTATCCCCCATATAACAGACACAACTACGTAACACATCACACGGGATGTAACTCTGGTGCTTTTACAACACACAATTATCATTCTGCTGCCATGAACCGGCGTTTATATGATTTTCAATTAGAATGTATGATTTTATGCGGAATGAAACGATCTATTGCGCGAGTCCTGCATATAAGAACAAGTACATAAAGTATTCACATACATCAGATTTACACTCCGGAACCAATTTTAGAGTGATTGCCAAGTTGAAAACATTTTTATTTACATTTTCTTCATATAAAAGGACCATGTTTTCGTAATCTCCGTATACAAATGGTAACTGAACAACTGTCTGATTTGATGTAATGAGGGTAGTTTTACCAAACTACCAAGACTTAATATCGTAGAAATAGGCGAAAATCTTATCATACGTAAACACGTATATCGTTTAGTTCTGATATCAGTCAAGTGGAATGGCCGTGTTTGTTCTGATAAAGGAGGACTATGAAATTAAATTAATGTATTGTTTTTACAGTCTATAAACAAATGAAATCGGGTGTGGATCCAGGACTTTTTAGCAGAGAATGTCATATACAAAATTTTCGGCATGGGTTGTCACCGTTTTGGATTCTTTCATAAGAGGAAGCTATTCAACTAGTTAACTAGCCCCCAGTAGTTCTATTCAGGTGCCCATTCGTGCCTGAAATAATGCACCCGGTGTCTTCCTTCACAAGTAAAGCTGGAAGTCGCCATATGACTGTGTTGTCTAGTGTGTTGGTGCGACGTCAAATCCAGTCTAAAAGTACAAATATCCAAGAATTGTAAGGTTATACAGTGTGAAATAATGCTTCAAAAAGGAGTATTTATTCTTTAAAATAGTACAGCAATGTAGAACCCAAAAACACAGCTCTTTAACTTATCTATTTTTCTTTAACTATTTATTTATAGATTTATTGTTTCCATTGAGTCAAATATATCTCACTTAATGCACCCTACCACCTACATATCATAGCATGAATGGAGATTTCAAGTTCCCGTAATACTGTGTTTATGACGCAAGAATTTAAGTCCATTGTAATTTTTAACTTTATTTAATTAATTTTTTTCATACATTTTACGTTACACCTATTTATATAAAAATATTATTACATGTACATATTTCCAAGAATTGTAAGTTTATACGGTGTAAAATAATACCTCTTATCTATTCTTAATAATGGTTAAAACACAATGTAGAACGCACAAGATGTACAGATTTCAATGATTTCGTAATATATATCAACGTTATTTGGGTAATACATTACTAGCTTGAACACAAACTGAACAATAAGACGTAAGATTTAAAGAAGTTGTGTTTGTGTCAATTCAAAATGGAATTACATGTATTTCACTTCGAAACGAGATTTTCATTGATAATTTCATTCGAGGGCGCTTCGTGCTATTGAAAATATTGTTTGTGTCATTCTCATTTCTTATTGAGATATTCAATATTCACTCAACACAAAGAAACGTCTCTTCTATATCATAATTTTATTAAAAATTTACATTAAAAACATCAATCAAAAATTAAAAGTTTTTTAACAATTTCATTTAATTTAACTATCTCATTTTATAAAATCTCATAACAGTAGTTTTGTAAACTGTGCACAATGCATATACAATGTATTCTAATTATGTGTGCAATAAAAACATGTCCGCATGAAATAAATTGAACATTCATAAAATTATACAAATTGTACTTATTGGGTGTATTGTTGCAAAATGAAGAAATTACAATAAGATATATGATTATACAACAATTGAAAACATTTTATAGCGGAGGTATTAAAAAAATAATGCATTAGGATTATTAATTCTTAATTTGGCATTTGCATTCACAGTTGACAGTCAATCTTGGTATTTAGTTTCCGAAGTCATATCAGATGTAAGTTAATCTCTATAAGCCTTCAATATTTTCAGTAAAGAAATCTTTCCAGTTCTTAAACTTTGGCTAACAAACTTTAATGTTGTTTTTCACTAATAAACAACTGTTTTGAATAGCAATTTTCATCATACCAATGCAAACTGAAGTAACTCATCTTAATACAATCCGAACCCTATCCTGGTTCTCCACATGCCCGGTTGAAAAACACTTTCGCGGAACCATTTACGGTCAACCATTCTGACATATCGTCCTTGCGCCGACCATCTATATAAGCAAGGTTCGAAGCCCCTTTCATTAATTTCTGTACATCGTCATTCTTCAACTCTGAATCGATGTTATTCACGTGACCACCGTCTGCCTGACATTGCTTTTCAGCATCATCAAATGATTTATTCTCGACAAACAGTTTCAAACAGAAGTCATTTGTCGTCAGGTAATAGTCCTGAAACTTTAAAGTGCTGCAATAATGTTCAGCTTTTCAGGAGAATTGTTCTAGAGTTTTGTTTGTCATAAATATATAAAAAAAAACAACAATTTCCCTTGGCAAATCCTTAAAAACTTTAAATGTGACCTAACAACGAAAAAGCGAAAAAGCATATTTATATTTAAATATATCTAAATGTTATATAACTGGGAAAAAATCTCATTGTAAAATTAAATTTACTAGTATACCCAAGTGAAATTAGCTAACAATATCTTATGTCATATACTAATTAGATAGACAATTAATTATTTGTAAACCTTCTCCGCTGTTTAGATTGTTTTGTACAGTTATGCTATATTCTGTTTTGCCATATATAATGTATTGTATATCCTCGTGGGCTATGAAACCTTATGGAATATTGAAAAATAAACTTATCAAACTTAAACTTATCAAACTTATTTAAAATCTAAGCCTGTGATTTAGGCGTTGATATTTTGACGCACTATTTCGTACCAGCACGTTACAATTTTTTTTACAGATATATAGTCGATTTGCCAAGAGCAAAAGCAAAGACTGGAACCCAGGCTAGTAAAATCTAAATACAGGTACATTTCAATTTAACATATAACATGTTTCTTATGTCAAAAGGAACCGTCAGCATTGTTTGAAACTTGCTGAGTATGTAACAACGATTGTCTAGTTAACTATCAGGAACTTGCTTGAAGTGCATTTTTATTGAATTTTTTAACGCATTTCTGTTTAATATGACGTTTATGTATTCTGATTTTTTTGTACGAAAAACCAACTTTCTTCTTATTTGTTTGCATGATTAATAACTTCATATTGAATTGTAAACAGACACATGTAAAGAAAAGTACGTCAGGCGTTCAAAGACAACGCGTACGCTGCGCCGACAAAAATAAATACAGCTGAGAGTTATCATTGCGTTGTATAAAATAAACAATATCGGTAAAAATATGTTTAAATATACAGCATTAAGGACAACAATATACGCAGGGAACAAAAAATATAATACAGCAACAGACACGCACGTAAAAAAACAAACATATCAATTTAGAAAAACGCGACTTATATCTGCGCAGTCACATCTACTATACAGCAAGAAAATAGGACCCGGCGTTTATCATGACAGGATGATAAAATATATAGGCAGAATGCTGAAATGGCATTGATAGTAAAGTTTACCGCGGCCAGAACTTGAATTGTATCATGTTCTTATTTCTTGAGAACTTTTTTCTGCAGTCAAAGGAACGAGTAAAAGCAGAAGAATAATTCCTTGACTGCCAACAAAGACATCAAACAAATTATCAAATGCCTGGAAGGTTACAAACTCTTTGAGAATGCCAACTATCCATGTAAGGGCAACAACTATAAGCAGATGAAAGAAAACAAAAGCATACCAGTATTTTCTGTCTGGGAAGAACGCGGTGGTTTTTGTATGTTTGATTTTAGTAGCAATCATACAATTAATTACAATGTTAAAAGCTATAGTTGCAAGGAGGGGCAAAGCAAACAAAAGTCCCTTCATTAAG